TGCTGCTGGTTCACACTAACAGGTCATTGTGGCTAAAGTGTAGTCTCATATACAGAACTCTGCAACACTATTAACACCCATTTACAAAACACTACAGTGATGGTTATTGGCACATAAAAAACTTCTCTATATGAAAACATACACAAAATAGATAAGAACTGCCTTTTTTTTTTTCAGACTTTTAAAATCCATATATAGTTGCCTTTGAGGAGTTTTAACCCCCAGTATCACAAACAACAATATTTCTTTAACAATGTTCACCTAGAATTTTACTGTGCTGACATTTGTAACACTGCCACAATCTAGACCACTTGTGGATTATGCTTAACTGTACTGTACACAAGGTGATGAAGATCGATAGAAAACCACTAAGATTTTTGCACAAAAATATGACTTGTTAAAATCCAGAGAACGATTGAGTCACTTTATAGGCAGCAGCTACATGTAAGCTGTAAATGTTACCCGCAATAAAAACACATTTTGCCATAAAGCACATATTGTGGCATTATCTGCTTCTGGCCTGGTACACACACAAAGCTTGATTTTCTTCCCAATGCAGAGGAATGGGTTTGGTTAGTTTGACTCAGAAAAAAAGTGCACACATACTTTATTCTCTGAAGTGCTTTACAGAACTGTCTCTTCTGCTTTGATTTCTACCCCGAGATCTCTCTGTGCTGTGAAGACTCTTTCACAGTGGTGATGTTTGGCTAACAAAGCCTCTTATGCAAGTAGAGGCAAAATTTCAAGACCATGTTAGAAAAGCATTGATGCTGAGAAGTAGAAAGCTGGGTATAAAGCTGAGAAGCACAGGATCTATCTTTTAGTAGCCCACTGCATGCCTGTGGGACTGCACTCAATACCCCCCTGGCCTAAGGAAAGACCCTTGGCTCGGGGCCCATGAAGGCCAAAACTTCTCTCCAGTGCTCAGCCCAAGTGACTAGAAAGGGCAAAAGAGATTTCACTGAGGAAAGAAGTACTAGCTTTGCCAACTCCATTGCCACAACCTCACCTCACTTGTGCTTCTTCCCCCTTAGTCTGCCAGCATCCCCAGCCTATCCACAGGACAAGCACAGGCCCTTGACCTCACCATCCTTATCCCACACGGGAGACAAATCAGGGACTGCTCCTGTTGGCTACAGCACCTGCCTCCACTGGAACACGGCTTTGTAGAGCTTTTGATGCAGCATTTCTTTCTTCTCCCCTCCCAACCCTAACTCCTACGTAAGTGAAACCCTTCATTTATCAACTCATGCAAAAATAAGTTGGTGTTGGAACAATGGTCCCTATGGTGTATCCTTTATTGTCCCACTTTCTGCCAGGGTTGTCGCTGCAACTCTTAAGGGAGCAACGTCTACAAGAGTGACCTATCCAAGGTGCCTGCATGGACATGCAACTTCAGCCCTTCAAACAAGTCCTGGGCCTTGCTTTGACTATGCATCTATTTTCAAAACAGGTTTGGTTCTCTCATTAAGAAGATCATTTTCATCAACAAAGTGACAAGGGAAAGAAACAAGTGGCCGATTATCTCACCCCCCACACACTTGTGAATTTCAACATGGTGAACAAACTATTATATGTGAATTAACATGAACTAAATTTTAAAGTATTAAAAATGCATCAGGGCTTGTTTCTTCTATACTTGTTGTTAGCCCACAACATGTAGAGTCAGTAGATAAATCAGAATTAAAATTTCTCAAATTGTAGTGTATAACCAACATGCCCAACTCTACCAGCAGTATCACTCCAGCATTCCTGATGCACAAATTCCTGAATTAACTGTGCAGTCCTTGTGAGGAAACAATTTCACATCTTCAGCAGAAAGCTTTCAATAAACAAATATTGTGCTTAGACATATTATTTATGCTACTTCATAAATTAAACTCTTGCAATAAGAAATTATTCAGTTACACCGTATTTTTATTCTTTTATCTGGAATGTCACTAAGTCTACCTTTAGCAAAAATCTCTTGAAACTTAAAATACGCATAAATATAAAAAAAACTTCGCAAAATAGAAACATTTATCTGATTTTCCTCATAAACTATAAATGTTCACAGATTCTAAAAATAAAACCCTAATTGATTAAGATTAATTTGAAGTGTCTGACCTCATTTTTATTACACATGATGCTTGGTAGTAGGTTCAGTGTTGCTAAGGTACAGAATGCTGTCTTGGTGTAAAGCAACACTAAAAGGAAGACTTAAATCCAGCTCTCTGGGCATGAAAGGGGGAGGGACAACAAGAAGCCAATATAATTTGCACCCTCATAGCCAGTAGCAATGAGGAATAAATCATACATTGCCTGGTGAAAAAGGGCATGGGATACAAACCTTGACAAAACTGTTTTCAGTAAAGTCAAACTTGTTGCGTGAGAAAACAAGCTCAGTGCTGTATGCAACTGAGTGCCACTTTTGGGAACATCCATGAAACAAGGCTGGCAGAGAGAGATGGTCTTCTGCTGCTAAAAGGCCCCAGCACTGCCTGCAAAACAGAAGAGGCTGACCTTGTGACAGAGATCTTTCCAGTGACTTTCCTTGGTTAAGCCAAATAATTGCAGCAGTTTCCTCTACTTGTGGGCACGAGCGCAATGAAGCTGAGGTCAGCACTAACTCTGGGTCTTGCCTTGCACCCACTGCAGCAAAGCACATCAAGCAAGGGAATGTTCACAGCTGTAAAGGTGAGCGTGGGGTCATCCTTTTGGGGAGATCAGAACTGCAAGTCCCTATCCCCAAAAGCCTCTAAATACCCACTTAAACCTATCAACCACATAAGCACAGGTTGGCTGTTACACACATACACACTGTTCTAGGTAACAAACCTGTTCTGAGTAAAGGTCTTCAAACACGTGTTTTTTGGTTCCAGAAAAAACAAACTTGTCCTCAAAATGATTTTGTTCTGGTCTGTGCAAAGTATCCCTTTTTCTCATTTCAGGTACTGCACCTTCAGTGAAGGTTTCAAAGAGGTGACAGCCTAATGGAGGCATCCCACAGGAGGGGCATTGGTAGATAGGTCTGGAGACCTGAACACTTTCAAAGGTCAGGAGATCTGAGCATTTTCAGCTGCTGGTGCTTGCAAGCATAAAAACATTGTGCGCTTAAAAGGGAGGCAAGATGGAAGGCATGAGAATCCTCTCACGCACAGGAGATGTTCAAGGTTGAGCTGCTCTTTGCAATGACTCATTTGAAATTCCCTTTGTCCACTGTGTTTCCCCTTTTAGACCCAGTCAAGTCACAGAAGGATGCTTTAAAATGTTTTCTTTCCAAAAAAGTATTTCTTTGATTAACAAAGTAAAAAAAGAAAACAAAATACACCCAATCCCTGAAGGTCAATAATGGGAGAGTAGGAACTCCCCCCATAGATCACATAACATAATGTCAGTTTTTACAACAAAAAACCCTCCACATTATCCAATAAAAATAATTTAGTAACAAAGGTCCAGGCTTGGTCTTGACAGTAATCCGACACTAAAAACATCTTTCAACCCAAGAAAAGCCCCCAAACCAAATCTATAAAGCTAAGGACCCGATGACTTCTTTAATCTTTGCACAATGAAAAACAAACATATTTTTACCAAATAAACAGGCAGCAGCTCATAGGCAGAGGAATTTTTCCACATTCTTTCATGAAACAAATGTTTCAAAGATAAGAATTTGAGTCACTGATGCTTTCAAACTTGTATCTTTGAAAGCTGAAAGCAGTGAGGACAGAGCATGGAAAAAGAAATAACATAATATTTTTATGTAGCTGCAGAAAATTCGATTTGCCAAGGCAAGCAATCACGGCAGGCAAATAAAATACCATCCATATTTTCATTACCATGCTAAAGACAGCCAAGTTGATTTTTGTGCCTGACATTTTCTTGACAAGTTTGCAATGCTTCAGTAAGGCAATTAATACGAGACGTAGGCCTCTGCCCATTGCTAATACTGCTCTTTAGATCCAGCAAGTCACTGCTTGACTAAGGACATTTGAAGGAAAAATGTGCTGGGAGTCGTTTACTCTGCACATATGGAGATAAACTGAAGGCAATATTTATTCACGAGCTAAAGGCGCAGGAGGGATCACCGCTGTGCATTCAGCAGCACGAACCCTCTCCCCTCCTCCTCCTTCTTTTAGCTAACATTATCTTGTGTTCAAAACTAGGCACAAACCAATACGTTCAAATGCAAAAAAGGAAAGCAAATATGATTTTCTTCTAACCGAAGCCTCTATGTGTACCTAGCAATATACACCAGTTCATTTGTACACGTGGCCACATACTGAGCTCTCTTTTCCTGCTGTCAGTAGTTAATTTTGGCAGTTTCTCTCACAAATGCTGTAGTGTGTACTCAAGAGCAGCAGTGGGTAGATAACCTGGTGTAGCACAGACACACATCACCCCAGTGAACCTCCATCCACGGGGTGTATGGCTCTTGACTTGTGATAAATAACAAGGGGCATTCTCTTAGGGTAAATTTGGGAAGTGTCCCTTCTGATGGATATTAGCAGATATTTGTATTTTCCCAATCAGTTAAGCCTTTTAAATGGTTACTGCTGCAGCAGCTTATGCATTCGTCCTTCATTGTACTGCACAGCAGAGCTACTTCCTAGGCTGCTACAGGATGGGGATCCGACAGCTGTCAGCTGTTTTCTGATTAGACACTCAGTTATTTTATCTTTTGTCAGTATGGAAGGACAGTCCCTGACCATCCAGGATAGCCCTCTGCATTCATCTGGTACAGTGCACCCTACTAAGTACCTGGGGATGGCACAGCACGGCGCACACTTGGTAAAGTCACATAATTGTGGGATTCAATCTCTTTTGGAAGCCATTGCCTTTAGTTATCAAGAAAACACTAGCATATTGAATTTCCTCCCAAATAGAGCATTTTTGAACATGAAGGCATTTTTAACTACATAGTAGGAAGGAGAACCAGACCAGAAGCAGGGCAGTGAGGTCATCAGAGAGCTGCTTTTCCCCCAGAAGGCTTTTAAATTATTAAATACATCAGCAGCTGAAAATTATTCCACATCAGAAGCATCATTGTCAGAAAGATGGTAATTACTTCCCTTCACCCGAATATACTCGATATACCTCCCTTCATCAGAATCTGACATACCACATGTACATAGCCTGTTTTCAAACAAAGATTCAATTTCCTCTAGTTTTTTGCCTTTAGTCTCGGGCAGGCAGCCGTAGATGAAAACTAGTCCCAAGGCAGCAAACCCTGCGTAGAGGAAGAAGGCTCCTGCAAAGTAAAACAATTGGCAGAGTCAGTCACAGAGGTTCCCACCCCTCCTCTGCACCAGAGCAGAGGGAGTGACAGGAGCATCAGGCTACAGAATCAAAAGAGTGTGTGAAAGCAAAGGCTGGAGTGGCACAGTTACAACAATGAGCTGTGGGTGTAGGAGCAGGATGCTTAATTGCACCATTCCTCAACAAAGTAAATTAGCAAAAGCAATTTCAAGTCACATGAAAGATAATAATACACATCCTTTCTGGGCAAGTCGTTCTGCTGTTAAAATAAACAGCAATTAGACAATTGAATGCCCAAAATAAAAAAAAACAGATGTAAAAGGCAAGAGCTTTCTTAGTTTATCTTGACAGTGAAAGACACATTAAGATAACTCCTCAAAATGAGAAACTACAGCAAAAGAATGAGTCAGGATATGAATAATGCTTATGACTCTTGCACCTAATTATTATTGAAAAGTTCTCTGTTGAGACAATTAGTTTTAAGAAAGAGCTCCTTCCTGTCCACAAACCACCATACCTCGGGGGGCTGAGAAGGTACCAAAGGACCAACAAACATCTACCTGCCATGTATTGCAACTGGTGACTCAAAGGAATGACAAGCAGAGCTGAAAGGCTCCGTACTAGTAATGATGTGAAGGTCACATCAACTCCCTGGCAGCTTAATGCAATTTAAATGACTTGTACTGGAGTGGCTGAGCAGTAATCTGACAAATACCCCACAGGCTCCTGCAGACAGGACTTAATCAACAGCTATATTTCTGCAAAGACCATCTGATATTGGCCTTGGATGCCACCACAAACTGGAAAACTGCAGCAGCTGTCTCCTTAAATGGGAATCACATTACTTCATTAAGTGAAAAGTCTGGGTTTTTTTTCCCATCTTCTCTGTCTTAACCAACTGTTTAGGTTCTCAGTTACGGACAGAAATAAATCTTTCTTGTGAAATCTGGACCAAACTCTATGATCCAGGCAGGTTGCATCAGATCTCTAGTCGTAGTAAACCACAGCAGGCTGAGAGCACTGCATTCACAGCTGACATTCCATAGCACAACCAACTGAGGGGCCCAGGACGAGCAGAAAATGTCTGTGCCAAGGGCAGTACTGCACACACGGACACACACTGCTGCTTACCATAGTAGGTCAGGTACTCAGCTGTATGCAGGAACGTCAGGGACACCAGCACATTGAAAACCCAGTTGACTCCAGAAGAACATGCATTCCCGGTACTTCTAGCCCAAAGGGGGTAGATTTCAGAATTGACAGTCCAGGGCATAGGACCCATGCCTACGAATCAGGAAAAAAGATCAATCTCAGTTTAATGGCTGGACTCAAAAGGGAATTTTACATGTGGCCTCACTATGTGACATTTTACAATTGTATAATTTATATGCAAAACTAAATGTTTGCTTACCAGGTGCAAAGAAAACCAAGTACAAAATAAGGCCCAGAAGTGCTGTCCAAGAGTACGGAGTGGGGCAGAAATTGTATGCCCAAAACAAATCTTCCTTTTTGAATACTGTTTCATTTGAACACCTGAAAAATAACACAAAAAAGTTGTACCAAAGAATTTTCAAGGAGATAGGTAAATATAAACATGGTGAGTAATATCTTAGAAAAAGATGACAAATGTACAAGTAAGATAAAAAAAACTTTGTCCCTGTTAATTTATCAAAATCTCTGAGCAAAGTTCTACATTCAGAAACATGTTTTTTCTCAAGTCGGATCTTAAGAGGAGCAATCAGCAGGACATTCCTGAATTTAAACACCTGCCTTGTGTTTACAGATGTCCTTCATACAACTAGTCTTTACTTTGCAAGTGGTGACACCAGAGCCAGCAAGACCACTCACATGTAAACCACACAGTGCAAAAGGAGCTGCAGCTGCAGGAATTCAGGCAAAAGATGCTGCATGCAAAGACTTCAGGCCAAATGGAAGTTAGTCCTTACACCACTGATGAACTAACTATAAGCTGCACGTTTGGGTGTAATCAGTAACGTCTATCGAGTGTGCCAAGGCCAAGTGAAGTCATAAGGAGAAGAGGTGTGGATTTTCTTTTCTTCACAGTGAAGTAGTTCAGAAGAAGGCAGCATTTCTAACTAGCTACTAAAACAAAATATGTCTCTATTACAAGGATTATGTGGAAATTATACTCAAGGAATAGGTATAAAATCAGGTATTTCCCTCTGCTAATAATATAATATATTTTAAAGGAATACTGGCAACTTCATTTATTTTATTTTTTAAAATTAGCATCTGTTTAAAGGGACAAAAAGTCATAAATGTAACTAGAGAAACTTTTTAGCTGCCACCACATCAGTTGCTACAGATGAAAACCCATGTACTTCTGGGAGAGAAGACTTAGGCAGACACTAATCTTTCATATGCAAACAATGTTATTTACTTGAAAAGAAGAAATCACAGAGAGATGAACATCTGCCTAAGTTATGACTTCCAGATCAGCTGAGAGCTTACGTGAAGGATCTGACCCTCTTGGCAGCAGGAAAACCAGAATGAAGATGCCTGCAACGGGTCATAGGTGGGCAACGAGTGGAGAGACAGCAACAGACACCCTGAAATGCTTCAAGGCCTTATCACCATTGCAGTTGACTTTCAAAAGCAAATTCCAAAAAAACACTTCTCCTTTCTATTCAGAGAACAATCAGCCAGCCCCAGGTTGAAGAGGAATGTGCTACTATTTGAAAGATTAATTACTGAACACCCAGTGATCTCACTGTGATCTGCTCAGCCCTTTGTGGCTGCTCATTCTGTGTCTGCCCCACTGGAGTGCTCAGTTACACACCATTTTAACATCACCACTTTTGCTTCTTTTGCTGCTACTCTAATTTCATTTGCAGGTGTTTGTAATGAATACAAGCTGATGAGCATTTTAAAACATCTTGATGCTGAGATGGGTTTCTCCATTCTGCCCAGCCAGATTGGCAGCTCCTCAGAGAGAGTCTCATGCTTTCTCTCGAGCATTACCCGAAACAAAGACATATTTGGTTTATTATCTTGCCTCCATCTCCACGAGCACAAACCAACCTGCTGATTCACACAGACACAACCGCAGGCAGGTCAGCATGTTTCCTTCCCCTGCCATCCTTCCCCAGGTGTGTCCTACTTTCGACAGAGTGGAACACAAATGATACAAGGGAAAACCAGATGTCTCCAAAGCCTCCTATGGCTGAAGCCAGTTATCTATTCTCTGTTGTCTGCCAATAACTGAGAGGAAATTTTGTTGCAAGAAAGCAGATTCAGCGCAATGGAACAGGAAAACCAGCACTTGAGACTGGATTTAATAGAAACCTTGCAGTAATAAACTGTGCTTTGTTTATCCTTCAGCAGTAAACCAGCATGGTACACACAGCAGACGCAAAGACATCTGCATTTGCTGGTGTCTTGCAGTGCTGGGTATGTTCAAAAATAACAGTCCTTCGAGGCGAGAGGTCTGTTCAGGCTCTGTTACCATGCTAATTCTACTGCTACACCACCATGTCTACAAGATGTATTATTTTGCTGAAGAATATATTAATAATCAGTGTATAATGTGCTATCAGATAAAATTCTGAAGTTTGTCTTGCATGAAGGGACCACAACTGATGGAAGGAGATGAGCAGCTACCTCTTGTTTCATAAGCTGAAACACACAGAAGAAAATCATAGAATCGTAGTCTGGTGTGAGTTACAAGGACCTTAAAGATCTAGCTCCAACCCCCCTGCCATGGGCAGGGTCTCCTTCCACTAGGCCAGAACAGTATAAACAGTGAAGACACACCACATCATGTCCTCTGAAATATTGCCAAACCAAAAACATGACAGTGCTACACTGAAAACCTCTCCTGTGAACTTTGGTACATGTTTTCCACAAATAACTTAAGATGCACATCAGTTCTAATTAGCACAAACCTGACCTACCAACTCCTGATACGAAAAACTAGGCTTACTGGAAATAAACCAGAAGAGCAGTAGATTTCTAAATTATGGGCATTATACACTCAGTTTCATAATCACAGAATCCATCCTCTATCAGATATAGTCTGCAGCTCAAAAGAGCTAAAGCTTTACTCCCCATCTCCTTAAATTACCTTCCTATGGCACATAAAAGAAGATAAGAGAAAAGCTGGTGTGGGTGGTCTAAAATGTTATTGCTAATAACAGGAGGATGAAACAGGATAAGACCATTTCCTTGATAATTAATGTACATTTTACAAATACTTGAGCCAGTTTGGCTGTACAATAATTCTGGTGCATGACACTGAAAACCACAGTGAGGGAAATGGTTAGGCATGACATAGCACAGGCAAGTAAGCACAGCACGAGACAGAGACAAATTTGATTTTCTTCTCACATAGTCACTGATTTTTGCTTTGCTGTAGAGTCAGGACTGTGCAGCCCTAAAGATTCAGCTTTTGCAGGGATTAAACATTTCATTCTGAACAGTTCATATATTTTTAATATGAAAGCTGCTGACTTCTCATTGTCTTTTAAGCCCTTCAGAAGCACCTTAAATGGATTTAGATCAAAAGTCTTAAAAGGTCAACATTCAAATCAAGTCAGGCTAAGGAAATTACTTCCGAAGACAATCACTAATGTGATTGTTTGTCTCTGTAAAATGCTTGTTAGAACAAGCATATTTCAAAATTACACATTCTGCTCTGAGATAAACACTTTGATATCAGGCACTGATGGCACAGAAAGTTTTTAGAGCTAATTCAGTTTTGTTAATCCTTCATTTCTTTGAACAACAGTAAAACTACTTAAGGACTGCTCTGGTGCCAGACTTTTGTGCCTGGGTTATAAGATGATGATAATCTACAATTTACCAACTTAGTCTCCAGTGTAACACAAATATATTGGATTTTACAAAAATCTCCTTTAAGGAGATTTTGAAAGTCTCTTGTGTAGTGCTGACTTTTATACCATGCCAGTCCACTGAACAACAGAAATTCAGGCCAAGTTCATTAACTTCTGTTTCCATCTGAAGTCTGGTCATGGAAAGGACAGAGGACCAAAGAGACAATTTAGAGTAGCTGCTTTTTGGACCAAGGAAGACTTTTGTGGAAGATGCTTGGGATCAACTAAGATTATTTATCCTTTATGGCTATTATTTAAGCAATTACTCATCCTGTGGAAGAATCTGGACCTCAACATTCAGGTTAGTTCTCATAACTTCAAGCCCCTCTTCTTCTGCTAAAGATATTCAGTTGCCTGAACAAACCCCTAACTATCTTTAAATTACTTAAAAGACAGAATTTAGCAAGCTACCAGATGAACTGTATAATTAGTGGTAGTCAGACATGTAACCAAGGAGAACTTCGGAAACCGCCTCTACCCTGTCCATCAAGTGGCCTCTCTAATCCACCCATATACCCCCAAAATAGTTACATTAGCACAACCCATACAAACCAGTGAGACCATAAGGTAGTTTCACTATAAATCAGTATATTCTGATTTAAGTAAAAATCCCTGCTTAATTTTTTTATATACACACAGTAAGATGCTATCTAAAGTATCAAGTGAAGTGCAACTCTTGACCTGAAGGTGAACAGATTACTTTAAACCTGACCAATGTCTGAATCAATAATCCCTAAGCTTTCTCACAGTTCCCTAGCTCCTGACTGCCATGCCTCACAAGCTCCATGCCTCTCTGGAGAAGTCTGCATGTATCACTTTGACTTTGTAGCCTACACAGAGAAATAACTCATCCATTAAACCAGATGTTGCTAAAAAAATGCAGACAAAGCTTCTCACACCAGATGATGGCAATTGGGAAAAAACTAAAGTCAGAAAAGAACAGACAGATGCAGCCTTGAAAAACCATTCCCATAAAATTTCATGTGATTCAGCTAGACCTTCATTGCATAAAAATACCGGCAGAGTTTTGGGACACTCATTGAAGCCTTTTGCGATAACTGGCAAAGGGTGTTTTAATATATTAGCACATGCTTCAAAAACATTGAGAAATAGTTTAGTTCACAGCAAGAAAGCAAATTGCACCTCAGCAAATGACTGATGCATCTGTACCTGACTGAAAACCAGCCCTTATCAAGTTGATTCCTCCTGCCACAGGATCTATCCGTCATAACTACAGAGCTGTGGGTGATATCCTGCACGAGAAGGGAAACCGGAGCACTTTAATGGGTGATGGCTATAGCCATTGCTGCTGTTCAAAATATTTCACAAAATCATAAACTAGAGAGACAATGCCAGTTCCTTTCACTAGGCAACACCTTCCATTCCAAGTAAATTTAGTAGCAGCTACCAGAGCTAGAACAATACCAACAGGAAAATTATTCTCCTCAAACCGAATGATTGGCAATTCATACTCTGTATCTGGGAAACAGAAAGCACATATTCAAAGGCAAATCAAATCCAGAAGCTTGGTTGCCTTGCCCATTACAGAGCCAAGGAGTTTAGAGATGCTTTCTTTATTGTGTGTTGTAGGTAAAAACTGAGCAATAGACTACCAAATAACTTAAAACAGGAGCAATACTTCCCCATAACAAATAGTTCTCCAAAATTATTCACATCAAA